TGAACAATTTCAGAAAAAGATCAAGATCGTAAGCATTCACCTCCAACTGAGCTTCACATTCTACGCAGACAGACAGTGAAGGCTAAGGCAGAGTTGACTGAGCATTGGAGGCGTGCCCCAGCCCACACAGAGAGCCCGTCTGCAAAGACCAGGAGGTTTGATTTGTTTTGTTTCGGCTCCAGGGGTGCTAGAGACTGTAGTGACCACACACAACAAAGAATACAGTCTTCACAAAAATAGTTTAGAAAACTCACTAAACAAAACTACAACTCACCACAGGCAGCAACAACAAACCCTGGGGAGATTCTAACTTCCAGAGTTATCACATTACGATATTCAAAACGTCCAGTTTACAACCAAAAAAAATTAAGAGGAATGCAGAGAAAGGATGCCCCATTCACAGGGGGGAAAAAAGGAACTTAATAGAAATTTTCGCTGAGGACACCCAGACTTTGGACTTAATAGGCAAAAAGTTTAATCAAGTGTCTTAAGTATGATCAAAGAATTGAAGGAAAGGAGAACAACATCTCACCATAAAGAGGATGTCAATAAAGAGACAGCAATTATAAAAAGGGACCAAGTAGAAATTCTGGAACTGAAAAGCACAATAACTAGAGGAGTTCAACAGCAGACATACAGAGGCAAAATGAAGAATCAGCAAACTTAAAGATAGGTTAATTGAGATTATCCAGTCTGAGGTGCAGAAAGAAAAAAAAAATTAAGGAAAATGAGCAGAGACTAAGAAACCTTTTGGATACCATCAAATGGACCAACACATGCAAAATGGGAGCCCAAAAGGAGTGGGGCGGGGGAGGCAGAAAGAATATTTGAAGAAATACTGACACAAACTGCCCAAACTTGATGAAAGATATGAATCTATACATACAAAAAGCTCAATAAATTTTAAGTAGGATAAACTTAAAAAGATCCACACTGAAACTCATTATAATTAAACTGTGAAGACAGAGAGAGAATCTTAAAAGCAGTGAGAGAGAAGTGGCTTGTCTTCAATATGATTAATAGCCAATTTCTCATCAGAAACCGTGAAAGCCAGAAGGCAGTAGGGTGACATATTTAAAGTAGTGAAAGGAAAATACTAGTAAGTTGTCAAATAAGAATTCTATATCTGGCAAAATCATTCTTCAAAAATGAAAGACAAACTAAGACATTTCCAAACAAACTAAGCCATTTCCAGACAAACAAAAGCTGAGTTTGTCATTTGTTGACTTGCCTTACAAGATATGCTAAAAGTAGTCAACTAAAATTAAAGAGCACTAGACAGTCATTCAAAGCCACAAAAAATAAAGAAGCTTGGTAAAAGTAACCACATAGGCAATTATAAGCCAGATTATTGTTATTTTTGGTTTGTAAATTATCTTTTCCCCATTTTTTTCCTATAGGATTTAAAAGACAAATGCATAAAACAACAATTACAAATCTGTGTTAATGGGCACACAGTATACAGAGATGTAATTTCTGATAATAACAATACAAAGAGAGGGATGGAGCTGTATAGGAGCAAAGTTTCTATATACTATTGAAGCTAAGTTGGTGTTAAGTCCCACTAGATTGTTATAAATGTAAGACATTATTTGCAAAGCCTAAGGTAACCACTAAAAAAAGTGTCTATATACAGAAGAAGAAATGAGAAGAGAATCAAAACAGTACACTGGTGTGGGGGAGATCAATTAAACACAAAAGAAGGCAGTAATAGAGGAACTGAGGGGGAAATGATATGACCTATTAAAAACAGCAAAATGGCAGAAATAGATGGAAATGAATTAAACTCTCAAAAGGTTGAGGTTAGCAGAATAGGTTTAAAAATAAGATCCATTTATATGCTATCTACAAGAGACTCACTTTCCATCCAAAGATAGAAATGTGCTGAAAGTGAAAGGGTAGAAAAATATATTCCATGCAAATAATAACCAAAGAAAAGCTGGGATGGCTATGCTAATATCAGGCCAAATGTATTTTAAGTCAAAAGTGTTACAAGAGACAAAGGACATTGTATTTTAATAAATGGGTCAATCCAACTCTTATCAACAGCCCACAAATTTATCTTCAAAATCCCCTTTGCCCAGGATGGTGAGCAAAGTACATCCAGTCCCCATGCTGACCCATCATGGAGCCAGAACTCATATCACACTGAGGCACAGCAGCCCTCACTGAGGTTCCTGAAGAAAGGGGTCATGTGCACCACGGATCTCTGGGTTCTTGCAAGCACCAGCTGACCTTGCCACCTGGGACTAGTCCCTCCTCCAGACACCTCAGTCCCCTATCTGCATGTGAGGGACTATCACAAAAGCCTTAGAGCCTTCCCTGACATCCCATCACCACCTCAGGCAGGGCAGGAGCCTCCCCCACCCCCAGGCTCCCTCCCAGCCCACTCCACTCCTGGGACTCCTGCTATCACAGTTCCACTCATAGGCATCCTTGCTGTGCTTCTCCCACTTTAGTCTGGTAACTCCTCGAGGCCTGGGAGCAGTCAGTTTATCTCTGCATCCCTTGTGCCCAGGCTGGTACAGAGAAGAGGCCTAGTGCCACTTTGCTGGGTGGGTGAGTGAGAACTTGGCTGGAGAAGGTAGCTTTTGGCACGATAGGAATCTCCAGGCACCCCCACCCCACGCCTGAAGCTGTCAACACAACAGGTCTGCCCAGACTGCCCCAGGGCCCCTAGGAAAGAGCCCATGTCCTGCAGATGCCACCTAGCAGGGGCCATCTGACCCCCTTCCTGTGCTTGCTCCTATGACACCTCCTTGTGCCCTGCATAGCTGCCTCCTCACCATCATGGCTCCCTTGCCTGTGTGGACCTGCACAGCTTATGTCTAAATTACTTGCTCTGGACACCAGTCTCTTCACCTGTGATAAGCATGCAGCTCCCTACCTCACAGCCCAATGGCAATACAATAGATCCTGGGTAGAGAGTGCCTATGGACCCATGCGGGTGTTACTTTTGAAGAATTAGAACTCTCAACCCATGAAAAGAATCTTCAATGTTTTGGATTATAAAAGCGTTTCCTGTGCCTGGTGCCCTGTGGGGTTCAGAAAGGTGTGTGGATCTCTGCAACGGAGTGTCTCCACATGGGGACACTCTACACCTGGGAGAGAAGCATCGTCTCCTTTGAGGTTTCCTGAGATTTTTCTCCTAAATAAAGTGTGAGAGAGAAAAGATGGAGAATCCTCACGCACAGGAATACTACCAATGTGATTTTAGTGGCAGTCGTCGTCATGCAGCTAGCCTTTCATGAGCTGTCTGGCATCGGGTGGAGCGGTGTGTGTGCGCGATGCCATTTCACTCTCAACATCCCTTTCAAGTAGGTTCCATTGTCTGCCCTAGCCCCTCGGACCAAATGAGGGTGTAGTGACATTCATTCATTCAGCACAGAGCGCCATCTGTGAGTGGCCCGGGCCGGGCTGAGGAGACAGTGGGGAGCAGGACCCCACTCCCACCCCCACCCTATGAACCCTCCTCCCACCCCCACCCCATGAGCAGGGGAAGAAGGTGGAGTGACAGGACTAGCAAAGGGAGTCATGACCACGGGGAGGGCTGAGGGGAAGTCAGCCAGGAAAAGGGGACACAGAGGCAGGTGAAAGAAGCAGCGCTTTGACTGATCCCTCAGGCATGTTATCTTCCCAACAACCATCCCAGGAAAGGAGGGTTTTGTCCTTGTTTTGCAGATGGGGAAACTGAGGCTCAGGAAGGCTGAAGAACATGCTTGAAATCTACCCAAGACAGAGCCCGGGTGTGTGGGCTCTGACTGTGGCACTGTCTGTGTAGCTGGCCGGCTCCTCAGAGTTGGGACCATTTCTAGGACCAAATAAGTATCAGAAATGTACTTTCTGTCTTGCTGTGTGAGGGGTGGGCAAAGCCGGCGTTCACCTGCAGACACCTGCTCCCAGCAGAGGCTGCCGGCTCGGTGAGGTGGGCCAGTGCTCAGAGGAGACAGTCAGCCAGAGGTCTGCCTCAGAGGCCCCCGGAGGGCAAACACCCTTGGAGGGCTGTGGGTGGCCCAAACTCTCCCTCTGGGGGCTGCGCGTGCCCCCACCTGCCCAGCCCCAGCTGTAGCACGGGCCCTGGCACACCGCAAACACTCGGAGACAGCGACTTCCCTTCTTTTATTGGTCCTGGCTGTCCCTGATGGGCCTGTGAACAGACTCTCGGGCCAGGGGACCAAGGGGCTTCAGAGCAGGTCTTCAGTCCCAGGACACAAGACTGTCTCTCCTGATTCTGCCCTGATGCCTGCTTCTCACACACCCAGCCCACAAGCCTGCACAAAAGCACACAGCCTCAGAACAGGCTGCCCGCTGGCCTCTGATGGTCCCAGAGGACACCCTGCCACCAGACCAGCCCTAAGGCCTGGGGCCAGGCCCACCTGGCTCAGGGCCCACATTCCTGGCTCTGGAGACCAGGAGCTCATTAGAGCCTCAGGCCGATCACGGGAAGAGCTAGGGGTCAGGGGCCACTGGAGCCCTGGGAAGGAAGCAGGGCGGAAGGACTCAGCCAGAGAGGAGACAGCACCTCTGCTTCTTCCCCATATTACCTGCGGGGGCTCCAGCTCCGGTCATGGCATCCTCAACTCACGGCCCCCAGTCAGGGTCAAGGTCCTTCCTAGTCTGGCATCCGTAAACTTGCTAAGTTCCTCTTCCCTTCCCCCAAGGGCTTTCCCATATTGGACCTTTGCACATGCTGTTCCACTGCCTGGAATGTCTGGCGATTCAGAGATGCATGTAAATAAATAACTTCTACCCAGTGAGAAAGGGAAGTCCCAAAAGACAAATCAGACGGAGTAATTCTAGACTGGTCCTGACAGGCAGGAAAAGTTTCATAGCTGGGTTTTGAAGCATAGATAGGAGTTTTCTGAAAGCAAGGATTGGGAAGGGTGTGCCACCGTTAAGCCTATGCACAAGAGAATTTGGGCTGGGGTAAGATGAGCCACCCAATAGGGTTATTCCTGGCATAGAAGGATGAAGGCCAATGGGGTGCAGAAAGCACTCACCTGCTGAAGAATCACCATTGTCCTTTGTCAGACGCTCCTGCTGCCCACCTGGCCAGACACAGTTCTGCAGGGAGAGATCATGTCAAACTTCTGAGCAGCCAGCTGTGTCAGCCTTGCACCTGGCAGGGGTCACCTGGGCTCCTCCCAACGCCACAGCCGCTCCTGCCTCTGGGGAACCCTCCCTGGCTCTCTCCCTCTCTTTGCAGCCCAGGCGTGTGACCTGAGCCTCAGCCACCATCACAGCTCTATTGTCCAGAGCAGCTGCTGTTATTCAGAGATTCCAAAAGGCTCCTAGGAAGTAGCAAGTCTGCACCCCTCACCTGGACATATGGGCAAAGGGGCCCAGAGAGGGAGCAAGACTTGTCTAACTTCACACAGCTGGACAGGGCAAGTCCAGGATGAGGACTTGGTCCAGGCCTCCCAGCTGAGGGCTGCCCCAGGAGTGTGAGTGACAGGGGCAGCCTGGCCCAAGGGGAGGGTCATGGGCTGAGCTGCCTAAATCCATCCAGAGCACCCACTGCCATCAGGATGGAGGCTCCATGACCCCAGTCTGGCTTTTAAGGCCCAGCACCATGTGGCTCCTGCTGATGTCCCAGTCATCAGTTTTCTTCCTTCTCCGGCCCTGCACTGGGACCGTCCTCAGCACTCACTCTTCCTGAAATGCACCAGCCCTTTTCATACCTCCTGGCCTTGGCATACACTGGCTCCTCCACCTGGAATTCTGACTAGTAAATTCCTATGCTCAGTTCAGATGGTACCTCCTCTGGGAAGCCTTCCCTGACCACCCCCAGGCTGCGGAGAGTCCTGATATTTCCCTCTATCCATCCCTGATTATATGTATTATGTTATCCGATTGGGTCTGTCCCTACCTCTGACCCCAAAGTCAGAGAGTTGATCCAGGGCAGGGCATGGGTTCAGCCATCTCCTCACACAGCACAGGGCCAGGCCCGGAGAGGACTCGACTGAGTGTGGTGATTCAAGGCAGCCCCAGCCCACAGCCCTGGCACACGGCCCTCCAGCCCCCCACCTGCCCCCAGGATGAGCATCAATTTTTCACAAGGCCCATTCAGAGGCACTGGGGCATTTGATCCTCTGCCCATGACACTCCTGACACCCGAGCCCTGACCCCTGCCTGGAGCTCTGGGACACAGCAGGCACTCAGTCCTCCCGGAGACGGGCACTAGGCCTGGGTGTCTGGCAGGGAAGGGAATTCAGCAAGGCCACCAGGCAGCCGCCACAGGGGTTAGCCTGAAGAGGAAGCCTGGCTGTGCTAGCACCCCGAGCCAGCAGGAGCCCCGAGAGCTGGGGGCAGAACCAGGGTTTTCATTAAGACTCGGGGCCTCGGATGAGGGCATAGAAGTTAAGGGCCACCCATAAGGAAAAACTATAAGATCAACTTTTTTTTTTTTTTTCTGAAAAAAAGAACTAGCCCATGTTCAAGGTAATTGCTTTGCAGATTGAGAGCAGGGAACACAGAACTATTTCTATGCCTCCCCTGGGTTACTTCATCCTCACAGCAACCCTGGCTGGTGGCTTCATGGTCCCATTTTACAGATGGGAACTCTGAAGCTCAGAGGAAGGGACTTATCTGAGGAGAGAGAGAAAGAAAGAGATAAAATGTAGCAGAAAGGCCAAAGGAGACAGAGACAGGAACAGATCTCTCTCTCTCTCTCTCTCTCTCTCTCTCTCTCTCTCTCTCTCCCACCCCCAGCACGGCTGCTCCCGGCCCCAGCCCTGGTCAGGGACAATTCAATGAGCACCATGCCCCTGGCTCTTCCCATTCCAGGGTCCCAGCCTCCATCTCGCCAGGCTCGGGCAGTTTCACTCGATGGCTGCTGTGGCTGAGCCCCCAAAGGTGGCAGGAGGCCCAGACCGGGAGCAAATGGCTGTGGTCACAGGGAGCTCCAGGAGGCCCAAGCCCAGGACACCCTCCGAAGTCCAGCAAACCCTCCTCCTGATGCCCAGGACAGGGGCAGCCCATGCTTACCTGGCTCCCAGCTGCCACCCGCACGGAGGGCTCGGGAAGCTGGGGTCAAAGGTCTGGCACGATCTGTAGACACGTCCCCTCTTCCTCTGTCTTGCTCCAGAACTTGCTCTGGGGGCCTCTCTGGGCCTTTCGGTTTTTCACTCTGTGACTCTCTCCCTCTCAGCCTCTCCCTCCCTTTCCTGCCCAGGTCGGCTGTCCAGCCGCACTGCTGCCCTCTCCTCCCCTCTCCAGAGCCTTCCCCCAGGAGGCGGAGTCCGAGGGGCCTGGAGGCCTGGGTGCCATGACATCAGCGTGGGGGGCGGGCTGTGCTGCCCAGGGCCCAGTGCAGAGCGCTGGCTGCCCAGAGGGAGGCAGGGCAAGGGGTCTCTCTCGCTGTGCTGGGACCAGCTTGGGCCCGGGCTATGACCACTCATCCGGCCTCAGGTGCCTCCTATCATTCGCAGTAGCACCACCTGCTCCCTCAGCACGGGCAGGATTTGCGGAGTCCTGGCCCCTGCCTCCCTCTGCCAAGCCTGTTCTCTCCTCCACAAATGGCTGTTTGAGACTCTGAGAGGAAATGAACGCAAGCCCCACGTTCTAGCCCTTTCTCCCTCATCCCTGTGCACACAGGCCCCTCCCTGTGGGCTCCCCTCAGATGTGTCCCTGAAGCTCCTCACCTCACCATGCCCCACAGCTGCCGGGGAGGAGGGGCAGGAGGCTGTCTGTGAGCACACAGGAAACTTCCTCAGCCCAGCACGAGCCGGGCACATGCAGGGCAAGGTGAACCGTGTGATTTTAAAGTGGGGGGACGGAGGGGGGAAAGGGGGGACTGATAAGCAAGGAGGAGCCCAGTGTTCATTGTTAGCACTGGAAAGACAGTAACAGGGGACCCCGGCTGAGTCCTGGCACTTCCTCACCACCAGCCCTTGCCTGGAGCCAGTGCGGCCTCTTCAGGGGCAGCTCTCGGCCTGGCCTGGGCGGAGGGAGGCGCTCTTTGGATGCCCAGCGGCTGTACCTGGGGCAGGCCGGGACCACTCCAAAGCTGGGGTGCCCATCTGCCAGGATCCAGTGGTCCAAGTGCGCCACCTGCTGGCACAGGCATGGCTGCCAATGGCGCCCCCTGGGGAGCCAGGCTGAGCATCCACCTCCGCCTGGAGAAGGGACGAGGGGACTCAGCCGCTGCAGGTCAGGACTTCCTCTGACCCCACAGTCCTGGCCCCCGAAGACCCCGGGGTGCTGAGTGTGCCTGGCCAGGCGGCCCTCGCAGGAACTGCTCTGGAACACAGTCCCCACTCCTAGACTCGGGACCTACCACGCCTCCATCACCTCCCCCCTGAGCCAGGCTGACGCAAGAGCGTCAGCCCTGCACAGATGGGAAAACTGGGCCCCCTAAGGCACAGGGTGCGAGCTATGAGGGGTGGGCGAGGCGTGGTGGGGAGCTGGGGAGGAGTGATCTCCAGATGCCACAACAGCCACAATGCATTCAGCACCCCTGTGCTGAGGTGGGCACAAAATTCAATGTCCTTTTCTCCATGGCCCATTGGGGAAATCTAGGGATTGGCCTTAATGCATTTGTGTTTCTCACTCTTCACCCCAACCCAGCCCAGTGGACTGAGTTCTGTCCACTCTGCCTCCACCATCTGTCCTGTTTCTCCCCACCACCACCACCCCTGGCTTCTTGGCTCAAGCTGCTCGCTCTGGTCTGCCCACATCCACCTGCACCCCCATAAGCCCATCTCCTCTGTCTGAGGCCCTTGATGCGGCTGCTCCCTCCATCTCACAATTGGAGAACTAACCTTCCTTCCCACCGCAACTCCCACACCACCTTACCAGGAATTCTCTGTGGATCTTGGTCCAGATCAGAGAGTATCTCTACTGGTCTTCCCACTAGAGCAGGGGCTGTGGCTGGTCCCCTGCATCTCTAGTGCCTTGGGACAAGGCCAGCTGAGGGAATAACTGAATGACCCCAGTGACCTCAGCTCAGACATGCAACGGGCAGGCAGCGGGGCCCAGCCTGGCTAGAGCGCCAGGTCCTCCCTCACGTTGTCGCTGACCAGAGGACAGGCACCAGGGCCTAAGAAATATTCCCTCCATTATCCCTAACCCCCAGAGGGACAGACGGACACAGGACGGTCTTTCTGAGATTGTGGTAACGTTTATTCTGAGAACAAAACAGGTCTCCCTGGCCCCAAGGTGGGCCCTGAGGGGAGTGAAGCCCAGATGGGGTGGTGTGGACCGGAGGCCCGGCCCATCTGCAAACGCACAGGCCCCTGTGGGCTGAGGATGCATCAGGCGCATGGAGCAACGGTTCTCCCCACCCACCCTCCAGCCCCAGCCCAGAACTCCAACCTCACCTGCCGCATCCCCAACCAGGGTCCTCCACACATCCAGGATCCAGCCTGGCCCACCCCGAGGAGCAGAAAGCAAGGGCAGGGCCGCCGCACAAGTCCTGTTGGGGGGCGGGGCTGGAGCCCACAGGCCTGCCAGTTGGTCCTGGTTCGACCCAAGGCCCAGGTGGATGTAGCTGAGAACAGACCCACGTGGGCTGCTCCGGCCCTTGCTTCTCCACTCTGAGTCAGGAGTGTTCATTGGAAATAGACATGGAGAAGTGATTACATGAGTGTAGTGTGCACGCATACAGGTACATAGAGAACGGGGGTTGCCCTTATCCAGCACTTGTTAGCGAGAGTGCTGGCAAACAGGAGTCAGTGGCCCCGCATGGCAGAGGGGCAATCGAGGCACAGGAGGGTGAATGGTTTGCTCCTGGTCATCGGTAGGGTCCTGGCCCCAGGCCAGGCTCTCGAGAGGAAGCTGCCACTTGCCCAGGAGTCTTGTCCTCCTTGTTGTGCAGTTCCTGGCCCTCACATGGCCCAGGGCCCCGACACAGGAGCAGAGCTGGCCACAGGGTGAGGAGGCAAAGTCAAGGATCCAGCGTCTCCAGCCAGGACACTGGACCAAAGAGCCAGGACATGGAGCCGGAAATCCAGGCTTCCAAAGGACTTCCCACCCAGCAAGCCGACGGGAACTCCTGTTCTGGAACCAGCTGAACGTTTTCATTTAACGTTGCCTGGTCTGGAGCCCGGGAAGGGTTGCAGAGAGATCCTACGCGGGTCACAGCGCCCACATGATTGGTGCCGACTTGCAAAACATCAGAGTACAAACACCCTCTTCTTCATCCACCTCCAGACCCCTTCTGAGAAAGTATGGCTTTTCCTCATCCCTCCCCAAGTGGAATCAAGATAAAATCGGCCGAGCCGGTGTGGCTCAGCAGTCGAGCATCGACCCAGGAACCAAGAGGTCACTGGTTCAATTCCTAGTCAGGACACATGTCCAGTTTGCGGGCTTGATCCCCCCAGTAGGGGGCTTGCAGGAGGCAGCCGATCGATGATGTTTCTCTCTCATCAATGTTTCTATCCCTCTATCCCTCTCCCTTCCTCTCTATCTAAAAAAAAAAATCAATAAAAACATATAAAAATAAAACCAGAGGACCACAAGAACTGGAGTTTAAGAAGAGAAAAGGGGTGCACAGGCTTTCAGTTTTCCTTTTAAAACCCCTGGTTAAAACTGAGAGTTTTAAAACAGAAAGAATATAAAATGTTGAGGACTGAAAGGAACATTTTGGTCTGGGCAGCAAGAAGAGGGCTGTGGCCTCCCTGGCTTCATTTTGGGGGGAATGTTGGCAGAGAGCCTCTGGTCTGGTGATGGGTTTCCCTCTCTCCTTCCAAGCCCTGACGCCAACAACCCAGAGCCCCTTCTCCCAGGAAATCCCAGTGCTTGCAGCAAAGGGGGTCCTGAGACTATGTCCCCCCGCCCCCACTTGCGTCCACATGTCCTCCCTACCCGCCTGGCCCCTGGCCTTCTGGGACCAGGGCCATGGAGACAGGAAAACGCCCTTCCTTTCCATCACTGACAAAACCTCTCGGGGGGGGGGGGGGGTGGACCTTAAACCAGAGGCTGGGGAAGAAATCAACACGGGGTGAGATGGTAGCCACAGCTCTCTGGGCATCCAACCACTTGCCAGAGAGGACCTCGGAGCAGAGCTGCAGCCCAGCATGGATGCCAGGTCTCCCAGAGCTGTGGGCAGGGGCCCAGCTCCCCCTGAGGCCTCATGGGGTCGCTTACTCACTTGGCAAATCGCTTGGAGAAATGAAGGGATGGGCAGGTGGATGGAATTTGAGAATGAACAGATGTCGCCTGCATGTTCCCAAATCCCAGCCGGAGCAACAGCCCAGTCAAGGCCAAGAGCCCTTTCAAGGTGGCCAGAAAGTCAAGATTTGGTGACAGAGAAAGCGATGTCCAGGGCATGGGGGCCGTTGCAGGAAAGGAGGGGCAAGAGTGGGGCTCGGGGGTATGGCAGTTTGTGTGTAAACAAGTGGCATCTTGGCACTCCGTGGGCTGACAGCAGGGCCTTGGGGAAACATTTTCAACGGAGAGAGTCCCTTAGCAGTGGGAACAGTTGGGGAAGGGCGGGCTATTTAAATCTCAGGCAAGAAGACGTCTCCGTGAGAAAGGAATGCTGTGGGGTCCTCAGGACACTGAGGCCCAGAGAGGGCCAGAGACCCCCCACGGTCACACACCGAGTCAGTGGACAAGTTGGGACAAGGACCCCGGTGTCCTAGCTCCCAGGCTAATCCCTGGCTGGGGGCATGCAGACGGCGGTGAGAATTGTGGGGGCCAGGCAGGCGGCCAGGCATCAGACAGCCGTGAGGGTGGCGCTGCTGAGGATGCGCACGGCAATGGTGCCCGGCAGGTCGCTGGGCTGCCGGCGGTCTCGGTCCCGGAGGTGGAGGGTGTGCAGGGCCTGGAGGTCATCGGGGTCAGCCTTCAGCTGCACCTGGCCCAGGAACTCATCCTTCAGGACTCGGTGGTTCCAGATCTGGGGGAGACAGAAGAATATGGGGGCCATCTCCACGGATAGGTCTGCGGGGGCTGCTGGCAGTTCTGGGCAGGGCCTCGATCCCGCCCTCCATTGCCTCCCCAGGAAGCCTGCCCTTTCCCGAGCCTCGGCGTCCTCCTCTGTCCAAGCCCCTTCCACATATAACGTTAAGTGTGTTACTATTAGCTCTGTGTGACCTTGAAGTCTGGGTGACCTTGGAGAGTGATATACTCACCCCCTGCCTGTTGGCCCCATCTTTAAAATGAGTGGCCCCGCCCTAACAGGTTTGGCTCAGTGGATAGAGCTTCCG